AGGGTTAAAGATGGGGAAGGCAGGCCCTGCCATAAAATTCAAGTCTAAGACCTTTGTCCTTGCTGTTTTTTCTTCAATGGAATGCTCTCTCCCAGATAGGACAGGCTCACTCTCTAACTTCCTTCAGGTCTCTCTCCAAAGCCTACCTTATCAGAGGAGCCTTCCCTGATTTCCCTGTATAAAACAGCCTTGGGGGCCCTGGCCCTCTCTCCAGGTGCCTCCATTGTCCTAAGGCAGCCCACTGTGCCTTCTCCTCTCCCAGTCCTACATGTAAGGGTGTAGGACAGACATTATTGGGGATTTTACTGATTATTAAATAACGTGATGCATGTCAGAAAAGAAAAAGTGTATAAAGAAACAAATGGAAAAGGAAAAAATGTGAAAGTTTCATGACCCAGAGATAAGCATTGTTAACAGCTAGGTGCGGGCCCTGCTGTTCAACTTTTCTCTGCACGCAAAGATATAGGCACAAAGGGAAGAAGAGTAGGAGGAAAAAATGCATAAATAAATGTTATTATCACACACACACACACACACCCAGTTGTAATCTGGCTTTTCATCTGATGTTCTCTTCTGTCCTAGCTAATAGCTCCTTCCTGGCCTTTCCAACCACACGCTTAGTGTCTTGTTAGATGTCGGGGCGGGGGGGGGGGACCCCTGCTCAGGTGACACTGTACCCCCTCACCCCTTAGCCTAGGTCACTGTGTTCCTCAAGGAATTGCCCCTGGGCCTGAAAGGGGTGCTCCAGGGCCTTGGGGTGGGAGCCCCACAGGAGCAGCACAGAGCACCTGCTGGGCACCCTTAGTTTCTTAGGGAATTTCACAGGGTAGCATAGGCTACGCCGCAGGGACATTGTTTGCTGATGGAGCCTACTCCACACCCTGCAGTGACAAGAGAAGGCACGAGAAGCGTGGAGGGGCTCCAGGGCTGTCTTCCAACTCCCTCTTGCTTCCTCTTACCCATACCAAACCCCAAGAGCGGTTCTTCTGCTCCACTCCAAACTTACTTTCAAGAAAAGATATGAGTCACTGGCAACTTGAAGCGCCAGTGCCAACTACCAGGCCCACAAAACTGCCCCTTCCAAGCAAGGAGTTCTACAGAGGCTCAGAGAGAAGAAGTGACCTGCCCAAGACCACTCAGCACACAGGAGCAAGAGCTGGGCCTCAGGCGTAGGACTCCAGGATGATGGAAAATTCTGGGCCTGCCGGTGAATAAGTCTGAGTCAAGATGGCTGTGGGATGGTGGTGGCCAAGGGACTGATTGTTTTGGGGTTACACGAGATGACCTCTGGTCTAGGTCATCACAGCCTGGGGTGCAGCTGATCCACCAAGCAGGTAAAAGAGATTGATCTGTGTTTGGAAAAGCCTTCAAGAGACAGAAGTACCAAATGAGTTTTCCCCTAAGGGGTCTGCCCGTCTGCCTCCAGGGAAGGCCAATCTTTAGCTTTGGCTCTACTACCTAGGAGCTTAACACAACCACTTTGAGGCTTCCTGATAACCTGGTGAGATCTGTTGCTTCGGAGCAAGTTTGAGGAGAGGGCTGAAACAAGACCTGTATTTTTAAAAAATTCCCAAGCCTTTGTCACTAGTGTCCCCAAGACTTGCTAAATATGTCCTTGAGTTTGCTACTCTGTATGGATTGTTAACCATTCCCTCTGAAGGAGAGAGGGCCCTGTGTGTGTGTGTGTGTGTGTGTGTGTGTGTGTGCGTGCAAGCACACACGTGTCCATGTGTGTGGTCAGTTTGGGAGAAAATGGCACCAGGAAAAGCCACCTGCTTGGACAAATGTGGTGAAGCTGAGTTACTTGATTTGGGATGGCACCAGTCTGGAATACAATTGTCTGAGAGCACAGATGTGCTCAGAGCAGTGGGAAGGTTTTTCTGGGTTTATTCAGATGTGTTGAGGAGTGATGATGCCTCAGAACCTCTCCACGGATAAGCGCATCTAGTCGCTGGCAAAGAAGAAAGATACCTGAGGTTTCTACAGATTCTCACAGATATCAGGCCTAGACGTTATAGTTTTGGCAGTTGGGGAAAAAAAAATGGCTGTACCATTGCAGTTCCCCCGACACAACATTATCCTCAGATCCAGCTTTCCTAACATTCCATAGAAACTCTTATCTGTGTAGCTAGCAACTCAGGGAATTTCGCCAAAATCATCCAAGATATCTAACTCCCTACCCAGGTCAGGCTGTTTTTTAAAACAGTTTTGCTGCTGCTGCTTCTCCTTCCTCTCCTTCTTCTCCTCCCCCTCCTCCTCCTTTCTTCCCCTGATTATACAAGATGGGCCAGATGGAGTGATATATATGTATGTTTACTGTAGAAAATTAATATTGGGGGCGCTTGGGTGGCTCAGTGGGTTAAAGCCTCTGCCTTCAGCTCAGGTCATGATCCCATGATCTCTGCTTAGCAGAGAGTCTGCTTCCTCCTCTCTCTCTGCCTGCCTCTCTGCCTACTTGTGATCTCTGTCAAATAAATAAATAAAATCTTAAAAAAAAAAAGAAAGAAAATTCGTATTGTTTACCTTTGACTGTCTCTCTCTCTCTCTCTTTTTTTTAAAGATTTTATTTACTTATTTGATAGAGAGCACACATGCAAATGTGGGGAAGAGCAGAGGGGCAGATAGAAGGGGTGGTGGAGGGAGGAAAGGGAAAGAATCTCAAGCCCACTCCACACTGAGCACTGAGTGTGGAGACCAAGTTGGGGCTGGATCTCACTACTCTGATCACGACCTGAGCAGAAACCAAGAGTCAGATGCTTAACGGACTGAGCCACCGAGCCACCCCTACCTTTGACTATCTCTTTAAGATAAATTAAAAGAAGTAGAGTAAGTGGATCAAAGATCTGTCCATTGGGTAGTCTCAATTTACACTCCCAGCTGCCTAGATGGCAATGCCTACCCACCAGTATGAAGTACTCATCATGTTTTAATGTTTGTCAGGCTGATTGACAAAAACCAGTATCTCATTTTAATTCATTTGCTCAGTTTGGACTGAGGCCGCGTATTTTTACATTTCCTCAGAAAACAATAGCTGATCTGCTGCTCTTCCCTTCTCAAGGAGAGTAAGTCCTTTTCTTTCATTTGTCTTCTTATAGGGCCTTGAAACAAAGAACCACTAGGAGACTGGCTGGAGTTCTTGGGCTGACCATCATATGTCAGTGACTGAGCTACTAGCTATAACCCTTGAAGGAAAGTTCCAGTGCACACAAAATTATCAAGGGTATATTTTTATTTTGGAATTGTTGTTGTGTGTGGTAACTTAGAAAAACTCTGTGGTTTCAGAGTTAACAGAGTGCTATAATTTTTCTCAGGAAAGTGTGGTAGGGGCAGCCAGCTGTGTGTCTCCAGCAGTCACCTCAGGCACCCATAAACACCTACAGATGGAGTAATTAAGCTGTGTCACCCTTTGTCACCCCAAATGAATTATCTATATGAAAAATAAAAATAAAATTGCACCATTTCTTTAGAATGCCTTGGAGCTACTTTTAGTTTCAGTCTGAAAGAGTCTTCTCAATATCCAGGAAGAGAGATAATGCAAATTCTGACTTACAGATAAAACTTCCGGAAAGGGCCAAGGGTGAGTGGCAGTATGTCATACCGGGAGTAAGTCTGACAGGAGCTGTCTGATGGCACACACGTCCTTGGGTCCAGGTGGGCTGGCCAGGCTCTCCAGGTAAGCCGGCATGTCTTCCTTCCCGAAGACCACATTCTCAGGGCTCTCTAAGTGGCCTCTCTGGTCATCTCCTAGTTTTCTCTCCTCCAGGAAAGGACTGCACTTGCTTTACAACAGTTAGTAGAAGAGTTTGAGTAAAGCCATTAGTAAGCAAATGGGATAACCAGAATCCCACAAGGCGAGGGACTGAGGGATTATCTGGTATCTTGGTTCTCAGCCTTTCTCAACCCACCAACTGCTAACCATTCTGGGTAACTGTCAGTGACCAGATCAATGTAATTGTCTTTTGAAGGCCCAATGGTCCCTAGGGAACCAATGAAGACTGTAGAGCAGGAATTTAAGTTTTAGAAGTGTCACTGCATATTCTATGGAAGAAAAGCTGCTAAATTGTTAATTGGAAGGTAGAGAGCCAGATGAGAGGATTGGAATAGGGCCCTGAAGTCGCTGGAGACAAATGCCTGGATTGGAGAGATACTTGGGAGATAAAGCGAACGGGATTAGATAACTGACAGGAGATGGGGTGGAAAGAGGGAGAGTAAAGACTCCCAGACTTCCAGGGGCACCCAGGTGGTTCAGTCAGTTAAGCCTTCGAGTCTGGGTTTGGGCTCAGATCATGCTCTCAGGGTCCTGAGATCCAGTCCCAGTTAGGTTTCCGCGTTCAGCGGGAGTCTGCTTAGGATTCTCTTCCTCCCCTCTCCCGCTACCTCTCTCTCTCTCTCTAATAAAAATAAATAAAACTTTAAAATAAAAAAAGACTGCCAGGTTTCTGGTTTAGGCCATCTGGGAAGACAGTGGGCCCATTACTGTAGGTTAGGGCAGGAGAGCAAGCGCAGGCTTGGCAGGAAGGCGTACCTACCGCCCCCCGAAGGAGGTGTACAAGTGGTTGAATATAAGGCTGTGGCGCCTGGGAGAGGGGTCTGGACCGGTCGGCAAAGCAATGGAGAGGAAGCCGTGAGGTATTATTAACAAGAGTAAAAAACTGAAGAGGCTTCTCAGTTTGGGGTGTGCAGAGTGTGGGAGGTAAAGTGGTGGGGTTCCAGCCGGGCCCTCAGCCCACTCACCATTCAGAGCCCAGGAGACTGGTGGGGATGGGTGGGGAGGAACCGGATTTGGTCCCTCCCGCCCTGCTCGCCCCCTTGTCCTCATCGGCTATTGGACAACTCCTCTGTCCGTCAAGAGCCCGCCTCCGCAGGTGAACCAATAAGAGCCGGCGAGAGGATGCTTCCTTCTCCATCTAGATCTGCACAAGGGGCCGCTTCAAGGAGGTGAGGCTGGAGGAGTGGCAGCCGCCGTACTGTGCGCAGGCGCGGAACTGACGGGACGGACCCCGCGGCGGTGGCGCAAGCTGGTGAGAGGAGAGCGAAGGTCCGAGGTAAGGAAGGGGGGCGATCGTGGGATGCGGACTCTTCCTCCAACCCCACTGGGTGTCGCCTGCGCCTGGCTCACCCCGGCCCGCAAAATCGGATCAGGTGATGGGGTGGAGAGCCGAGGTGAGATGAGGTGAGGGGAAAGACCCGCAGCTACGGTCGCCCCACTGCGCGCACGCGCCACGTGGGCTCGCGGACTTGCCAAGGACCCTTGGCTTCGGACCCGGGCACCGCACGAGCTGCTTTAGCCCTTGGAGCATCCCTGTGAGCTAGGCGCCTCGACTGAATTTGCCTGTTTCGCAGGCTGAAGCTGGGGCTCAGGGACGTGGCCGGTACGGGCTTGAGGGAGATCGGGCTCGGTGGACTCCGGAGCCCGAACTCTTCTTTATGAGGCTGTGGGTCAGAGACTTGAACTTGGGACCTGTTTGGTTTTTTGAGGGGCGCGAAATTGTTTGGATCCCGGCTGCGGCGGACCTTCTTGGGCTGGAAAGGGTTGCCTGGTTTCTCTGCAGGGCCCCGGAGGAGTGGGAGGTGCCAGGCGCCCTCTGTACTACTTGACCTACCACCGCGTCCCCAAGTTCAGCGGGGTGGGCTGAGGGGAGGAGGACGATCCTCAGTTCTGTAAGCTCCCAGTGCCTCAACAGACAAACTTGTGGAGGGCTGGTCTTCTGAACAAAATCCGAAAACACGTGGGAAACGCTCCTCTTAGGTCATCTGAGAAAATAAAATAGAGCAGGGTTTTTTTGGTTTGTTTGTTTCTTCGTGTTTTTTTGGTCTAAGAAAAAATGCCATCAGAGTCTGTTGAAGCTGCTAGGAAACTGTTCCTTTCGTGTCCTTGGGGAGGCATGTGAATCTTGTGGAAATCAGTTTGGCAATATGAGTCTACACCCTTTGACCTGCTGATTCCGGCCTTTGGGAAATAAGTAGGTTAAAACCTAAATAGGGAAAAGGTTGGTGTGCAACACAGTGCAGTTTGGTGTTCATAAATGTTAGCCAGTGGAAACGATCTCTAAATCTACAACAGTGGAGAACAGTTAAGTAAATTGAGATTGTTTATGCCAAAATGGGGTATTGCACATGCATGGAATGTAGTATTGTGAATAAAATACTCCTAAAAAGAAAATCACAGTGTAAGTTGTGGTTTCAACTATATAAAAATGTATACAGAAGGACTAGAGGAGTCACCTAATGATAAAAGTAATTACTACCTTTTTGGAGCAGAAGAGTCATATTTCATTAAATCCTCAAAAAAACCTCATGAGGCTAGTGTTCTCATCCCACCGTCAGACAGCTGGAGCTCAGTCAAGTGAAGCAGTGTATCTGATGTTAGAGAGCTCATGTCATACCTAGTTTGCTCTTGGGCCTTTGGCAATGCCATGTCGACCGGTAGTTGAGGGCCTGTTGTGTACTTTGTGTAGGGCTGGGCCCTGGAAAGCCACTGGTGAGTAAGGGAACCTGGGTTCCTGATTTCATGGAGCTTATAGAACAGTGGAAAAGCAGATATTTAAATAAACACTTACAATCTGCTGGGGGAAGTGAACATGGGAGCTAGATCCTGGGCTCTGGCAAGGGAAAGGATTCGGGAAGGAAAAGAAAAAGAAGGAGCCCCTGCGTCAGTTGTGAGGGATGAGTGAGCCCTGTGGGGAAGCCTTCAGTGGCTCTCTAAGAGTGGAGAGCATATAAAAACCCTGTTTTCTCCACTTTCTGGAATGTTACTTATGTGTTGTAATGGGAGGTAGGACAACTTACTTATGTATTTTGAATTTAGTCAACTCTTTTGAAGTTTATCTTAAACTGCATTTGTTCAGGATGGTAGCACATGTTTTCAGAAGTCATTGTTTGTTTGTTTTTTAAGATTTTATTTATTTATTTATTTGACAGAGATCACAATAAGGCAGAGAGACAGGCAGAGAGAGAGGGGGAAGCAGGCTCCCCACTGAGCAGAGAGCCCGATGTGGGACTCAATCCCAGGATCCTGGGATCATGACCTGAGCCGAAGGCAGAGGCCCCAACCCACTGAGCCACCCAGGCGCCCCCAGAAGTAATTGTTTTTAAGAAATTGAATTTGAGCTTTCTTCAACTCTTTAATTTTCAGGTCTAAAGAAAGCCCCTTTTGCTGAAGGAACACATTTGCTAGTATAGTTTCATAATGCCAAGTACTTTGCCCTTCTGGATCTTAAAAAATTCTGCAAGGAGCGGCATTGCCACGTTACAGGGGGGCAAACGTTTATATTCAAGGTGGGCCTCAAATGGAAATGAAGCAAGTTGGAGACTCTTTTCCCACCTACCAAGCACCAGAAAAAGCAGTGTCCCGTGCAGTGGCTTCACTCTGCAGAAAGCCTTAAGACATACATCAACAGAGGAAGATGACTTTCAGTTGCAGCTCAGCCCTCAGCAGGTAAATGAAGTTCTGAGAGCCGGCGAGTCAGCCCACAAAATTCTTGACCTTGTCAGTGGAGTCCCAAATTCGGTGTTACGGTTTGAGAGCAACCAGCTGGCTGCCAATTCCCCAGTGGAAGACCGTCAAGGTATCGCTACCTGCCTGCAGACCAATGGTCTGATGTTCGGCATCTTTGACGGACATGGTGGCCATGCGTGTGCTCAAGCAGTGAGTGAGAGGCTCTTCTACTATGTGGCCGTGTCACTGATGTCCCAGCAGACCCTGGAGCGGATGGAGGGAGCTGTGGAAAGCATGAAGCCCCTGCTGCCCATCCTGCATTGGCTCAAGCGCCCAGGGGACAGTATCTACAAGGATGTCACGTCCATGCACCTCGATCACCTCCGTGTCTACTGGCAGGAGCTGCTTGACCTGCACATGGAAATGGGACTCAACATTAAGGAAGCATTAACGCATTCCTTCCAGAGACTGGATTCTGACATCTCGCTGGAAGTCCAGGCGCCCCTGGAAGATGAGATGACAAGGAACCTTTCACTCCAGGTCGCCTTCTCTGGGGCAACAGCTTGCATGGCCCACGTGGATGGAGTTCACTTGCATGTGGCAAACGCTGGTGACTGTCGGGCCATCCTTGGGGTCCAGGAGGACAATGGCATGTGGTCTTGTCTACCCCTCACCTGCGACCATAATGCCTGGAACCCGGCCGAGCTGTCGCGGCTAAAGAGGGAGCACCCTGAATCAGAGGACAGGACGGTCATCGTGGACCACAGGCTGCTGGGCGTCCTCATGCCCTGCAGGGCCTTTGGGGACGTCCAGCTGAAGTGGAGTAAAGAGCTGCAGCACAGTGTCCTGGAGAGGGGCTTTGACACCGAGGCCCTCAATATTTACCAGTTCACCCCCCCCGCACTACTATCCTCCCCCCTACCTGACTGCCAAGCCTGAGGTCACCTACCACCGGCTGAGACCCCAGGATAAGTTTCTCGTGCTGGCCTCGGATGGTCTTTGGGACGTGCTGGGCAACGAGGAAGTGGTGAGGCTGGTGGTGGATCACCTGGCCGAAGCAGGTCGGCACAAGCCAGACCTGGCGCAGAGACCTGCCAACCTGGGACTCATGCAGAGCCTGCTGCTGCAGAGGAAAGCCCAGGGCCTCCACGCAGCCGACCAAAACGCGGCCACACATCTGATCAGACACGCCATAGGGACCAATGAGTACGGGGAGATGGAGCCTGAGCGGCTGACAGCGATGCTGACGTTGCCAGAGGACTTGGCAAGGATGTACAGGGATGACATCACTGTCACGGTGGTGTATTTTAACTCAGACTCAATAGACACCTATTACAGGGGGAGTTGAGAGGCTCCCGTCTGGCCAAGGTTAACTTAAATGCTTTGCTAAGACATTTTTCATTTATCCTTAAGCTGGCTCTTCAGACCTTACTGTTAAAAAGGCAGGCAGATGTCGCTTGCTTAAAAATAGACTGACGTGAGCGAAAAAAACCAGCCTTGGTTTAAAAACAGTAGCAGTGATTTCATGGCCCCGTGTGTTTTGGTCACCTTTTCTAGGTAGAGAGGGCAGAGCATGGAGAGCATATGGGCTTGGGCCCATAGCCAAAGCCCTTTTATAAAGACACTGTTGTTAAACTGTCAGCCTGAGCCTTCCGAGGGTAGGTTTAATCATCGTTCTGAGAATGTGAAGAACTTCAGGATTTTCTGAGGTTATGCTGCAAAATCGGCACACTTGTCAGTTTTCCCTCAGTTCACAGTCGTGGACAGCTAGACTATGAAGGAAGGTTTTGTTTAGTTTTTATTTTTAAATTACTAAGACCTAGGTTTACAAAGCATATTCTAGAATACTTTTCTCTGCAACATTCGAACTTTTTTTGTGTGACTCTACTTGTGAAAACATTATGTGATGCTACACCCTCGTTGTGTTTTAGTTTGGCCTAAAACTGAGTCCTCAGAGTTGCAAACGGGCCTGCTTGTAAGCATGCTTGGAATGACTCGTCTTGGTTTTCAGCCAAGAGGGGTGAGGGTGGGTAGGCCTCTGCACCAGCTGAATTCACTTGTGCAGCTGGCAAGCGCTTCTGCTGTGTCTCACCCCTTGAACCTTGAGCCATACTAGGAGGTAACTTCTGTCTAAGCCTTAATTCCTGGCCTTCCCTGCATTAATAAAATACCCTCCGGGGCTTAGCCTCTGGACAGGTTAATTGAGAGCACTTAGCCTTTCTGATTATACCTCTCAAACGGTCTTCTGTGAATTCCACCTAATCCTCCTACCTTTGCTCTGCTGACTGCCTCGCTCTGCAGCTGCTGCCTCCGTGGTGCTGTCCCGGAGGAAGGCTCCCTCTCCATAGGGTTGCAGGGAAGGAGAAGATGTGATTATGTACTATGATAGTTGGGACAGGTCAGTGGGCAGGACTGGCACGTGCTGTGGATTTTGGGCTTAAGACTAGACCCGAGCCTGCCTGCACTGTGAAAACACAAAGGATTTGAGAAGTCACAAGCGAAGGCTGCCTGTTCGCCTCCTGAAAGGCAGGAGGGAAGGGGGAGGAGTGAGATTGGTCAGACAGGACACTTGCCTGGAGACTGTGGGCTGAACGGCCTCAGCTGCTCCTCGGGGAGCAGACCATATTTAGTATAGGAGTCGGGGCAAAAATAAAAATGTGACCCGTAATGGCTTCTGTGGGCAGCACAGTCTTCGTGTTTATTTCAAATGAAGCCACGTGCCTCCTTTCTCGGGGAACGAATTTCATGTTCTCATGAATGGCGGTGGCATTTAAACAACAGGAAGTGTGTCCCTAAACAGAAACACACATATAATCCCACAAAGCTGACCATTCTGTCTTCCCACACTACATTGGTTGAACCCTCTCTTCGTCTCCACCTTGTGCCATCCACTGAAAGAAAAGAGAGTTTGACTTTTCATGTCCCAGTGACATTCATTCACTTGTTGGGGGACTTCTAGCTGGGAGACATTCCTCTGTCTGCTTTCCAGTGTAACTTTTTGGTGACAGGGGCTTCGTCTCTACTCAGTGCTTCAGCTTTGGTCATTCTATTCCAAAACCATTAGTGTTCCTTTTTTTTTTTTTTTTTTTTAAGATTTTATTTATTTGTTAGAGAGAGAGAGAGCATGAGCACAGGCAGACAGAGTGGCAGGCAGAGGCAGAGGGAGAAGCAGGCTCCCCGCTGAGCAAGGAGCCCGATGTGGGACTCGATCCCAGGACGCTGGGATCATGACCTGAGCCGAAGGCAGCCGCTTAACCAACTGAGCCACCCAGGCGTCCCAGTGTTCCTTTTGATCTTCTACATCTTAATTGAGAAATGAAACGTGAATCACTGCTATTGTGCTTGCAGGAAGGTTTTTGCTGGAGCTGAAGACTGCTTGTCTGTCATTCTTTGTTCTTGATGCCAGCTCAACCCTGGCCCACCTCGGGACATTTACCGTATTACCCCGACTGTCTGAATCCTGTTTGGGAGCCTGGCGTGGGTCACAAAATACATCTGATGCAGTAACTCATGGGACAGCTGAGAGGACACAGACTTCCTGCCTGCTTCTCCAAGCATATCTGTGTTCTCTCTCTGCCTAGTATATTGCCCGCTTTCTAGTCGGTATATTGAAGTGGAAAAAAGGCTGATTTGTTGTCTACCTTTTTCCACAGTGAACTCTCTCAGGCTCTCTCAGCTCTTTCCCTGAATGCTCCAAGGAGAGCCTCCTGGTTAAGCCCCAGCATGTCTGTCTCCCCGACCTAACTTCTGGTGTCACTGGCCTTTCTGAGACAACATAGGCTATTGCTGGAGGACACTGGAATTTGAGAGGGGGTTGGTGGTACTTGTCAGTCTTCCAAAGCATTTATCATTTCTTTTATGTGAAGCTTTCAATTTTGAGACATCTAAAAAGAACTAAGAAATAAGATGGACCATTTAATATTTTGGATGTAACTTGAATACCGTATGCTTTGGTTCTTTAAATTGCGTCTTAGTTTAGGTAAGAAGCTTTGGTAATATTGGCATAATTTAGATATTGTTTTATGTATAAATAATACAACCCTGCTGATTCCGGGGATTGGTCAAAATAGAGAAGATGGTATAGTTCTAGATTCAAATTAGAATGCTAGGTCAAGTTACTTAGATTCAGTTTTTCTGAGGTAGTATTTGTAACAGTCAATCTAATTTGTTATTTTTTAAAAAGATGATTTGTTAAAATGAAAATGTGAACTTTGAGGTATGTTAATATATAAACAGTTTTCCCAGAAGTCGGATTGGCCTAAAAGATCATTTGCATCAGACACACTGGGTAAAATTTCAGTTTAGACATAACTAAGCTGCACCTTGTGTATGTCAGTGCAATAGAAACAGCTTGAACTTGAGTCAACTAAAGAAGAGAATAATGAATTGTATGGAACAAGAGAATGTGTTCAGAACGAGTCTGGCTTGACTCTTTGGTCTCTCAGTTCCTGGTAACCTATCTTCACTTGACAGCTCTTGGGAGAACTCTGCTTCCCAGGTTAAACCAGAGGATCCTGGAATGGAGCCATTGTAGTTTCATTTTAAAGTGGTGCATTTGTCTCTGAACATGACTCCTTCCCCTGACAGAAAAAAAAAAAAACCCTGGTGTAGCTTTGGAGCTGGGCTATGAAGACTGGTGCTGCTGTCATCGTGTGGACTGCCTGGCGTATCACTGAGCGGGAACGTGGGCTGCTGTGCCATCATCTCCTGAGCTGGCTGAGCCTCTGTCCCTTATACCTGGGGCACCTGCTGTGTAACATGCTTCCTGGAAAATAATTCTTATCAAGCATTGACTTGGAAAAATGATTAACCCTGTTCTTTCATATTTACTCACATTTGATTTTAAAATGTATAGCAATGTTCTTACTGGACATTGATTTTCTAACTGTTAGAGATGTTTAAATGAAACTTGTCAATAAAAGAGGCTAAATGAAATTTGGTGTGTTTTGGTTTGAATAATAATTTCCTTCGGTCCTTAGGGTACTGGATAGACCAGCCTTTGAGTCACCACCCTTATCTGGCCAGGGAAGATTTTAGTTTGTTCAAGGCTCCCCCTCCCCCACGCCCCAAAAGAAGTTTTCTGTGCAAATTTTTGATGGCTGCTGACCACACAGGAAGTCCTCATTTGGTGTTAACTCTGTGTGCAGGGACCTGAAATGAAGGAAAAGGAAGTGAAGGCTTGTGTTGTAAGGGTGTCCACACACCCAGTGCCAAGTTCTGCTGGGGTTTCATATTATTTAACTGAGTTCATAAAACCAGCTTGTGTTCAATGCAGAGCCAGCGTTAGGGAAAATTTCCAGGCAGTAACCTCCAGTGTTGAAGAGCCCCCTCCTTCCCATTCCTACTCCCTGAGCTCTGTCTTCCTGCCTCTGAAGAGAGGAAGCTCCTAAGGACTGTCCCCCCAGCCCCCGCAGGGTGCTTCTTGAAAGCAATCCAACTATTAAGTCATTAACACTTCAGTGTGGGCTAGGGTGGTTCACCTGGGCTTGAAGAAGAGCAGGTTTGCTGGAGGGAAAGGTGGAAAAGGGAATGTCTGAGGTCTGATGAAGATAAGAGGAGCTATTTCCCTCTTTAATATCACAAAAGTGAAAAACTTGCCCCCGACACTATGGTAGGGCTGAGATTTGAACCAAATCCACAGTCCATCCACTTGTCCCAATAATGGCCCCTTCAAAAAGGGAACATAATGCATGAAAACTCTTTCATTGCACAGTTTCAGCCCAGGGTGGGTGGGGATGGGATGGAGAAGTAGGTGGTGCTGAAAAGAAGCTAGATATACTTAACACATGTGTTCCAATATTCCGTCATTTTGGAACATGATAAAAATACAAGGGGAAAAAATACAAGGGAAACGGAGAATTAAATTTTAAAGATTGAGCTCTTTGGACTCCTTCCAAGGGGAAGAAATAAATTCATGTCGTTTCCTTCATATCTAGAGTTTTTGTTTTTATTTCACTTGATGCTGTTAAATCCCCTATAGTGGTTCCCAGGCTTGTGGCCCTCTGAATCCTGGGTGGCCAGTGCTCCAAGCAGCTCCCTCTGGAACGGGTGAGTGTCCCTACCAGACTTCTATGGGTCAGAGTGTCTTTGTTCCACGAGCCCTTGACCTTATCTGTCCTGTATGGGAAACTGCCTAGCTGCAAGGAGCAAGGCGGAAGTAGGCCAGGACACATTCCTTTCCCTCGTGTCTGGAAAAGTGGTCCGTGGAGGGACTTTCCTAAACCTGCTCTGTTCCACGTCTTCACTCTTCCTGCCTTTCCAGAATTCTGGAAAGACCTCACTCGCCCAACCTCATCCTCCCTACAGCAGATGAAAAGAAAGAACGTCTGCCACCAAATGCTGCTCTGTCCGGTCCACCCTGCACACACCTCATGCCCTGGGTCCAAGGCTCCGGGGATGGCCCCTCCCAGTGGGGGGCTGAGAGGTGTGACCTTGGGCACAATGGCCATGAGGATGGGCCAGACAGAGCAGGGAAAGGAGCATGAGGAGTGAAGAACAGGGGTGGATCTGGTCCAGTGGGTCTGAGGACAGACTCTGGGGTCTTTATGGAAGCAGGGATGAGAGTGCAGTGAGGGTTGAGGCGGGAGGTAGCCAAATGTGGCTGGGTGGGCAAGGGGGACGCCTTCGGGTGGTCTCCTGGGAGAGGAAAGCGAGCGCAGCCAGGTAAGGAGCGCAGAAGGGACTGTGGGCGTGGCTTACTCCTGGTCAGCGTGGAGGTGCGGTGGGCGTGGCTTTCTCCTTGTCCGCTTGGAGGTGCGGTGGGGGCAGCACCGCAGACCCCACCGCTCCCCTTCACTTCCCCTGCAGCGCTGAAACCAGGTGCTTTGGGGCGTTGGTTCTTGTTTTTCTCCTCTCCACTCCACTGCTGTAACATCAGGCCTGGCCCCTTGTCCTGCTGATTGTAGAATGAACGAGGAAGGATGGGGGGATTGACAGTGGGAGGGATGATTGGAGGGAGGGGGGAGCAGATGAAGAGGAATCAGTCAAAGAGAGGTCAGAGAAGTAGTAGCAAAACCGTGAGCGGTGGTGTGAAAAGGTGTGAGGAAAGGGGGTGAGGAGAAAACCGGTGGGTGTGGATAGACGAAAATGCACAAGTGATTTTCAAAGCATCGCTAAGGAGAGGCAAGGAATTCTCATGTGGGACTCAGGACACAGGGTGGGCCTGGATGGTGGGGGCTAGCTCTGTGATAAGAGGCGGGCTGAGCTGCTGGGATGACCCTTCCTCTGAGATAATGTGGTGTGGTGGGTAGCGGATGGGGAATGTCATTGAGCTCACAGGTCCTTGGCTTGTAGGAAGGGAGAGTATCCCTGGGTTCACTTGGGGCTCCAGCGGCTTTGCTGACTCCAAACTGGACTTTGGCATGGAGGGACGGAGGAGCCAGCTCTTTTCTGAGCTCTGCCTGGTGGTTGGTCACTCAATCCAGAGGAGGACATAACAGGAACACCAATGGGGAGCGCTCGCGCCTGGCAACCGCCTGTCCAGGCCCTTTGCTGGGGGATTCTGCCCAGAAGCAATGTGAGACAGGAGTCTGCCTCTAGATGTCACCATCTGGCCATGTTGGTGCCAGCCACAGCTGGAGGGAGTGGGAGGACAGCATGCCTGAGAAGAGACCCTGAGGCACGGTTCTGCCAGAGCAGGGGGTCCCTGGGACTGCAGCCTGGGACACCCTTCAGGGAGCCTCACCAGACCCTGGACCTCCCTGGGGCTGGAGTGAGTGTGGGGTAGGAGAAGGACCCTGTCCTGTGATCACTTAACCCTGCTTTGTGGGGATGGGGAGGCTGAAGTCCCAAAACAGCCAGAGCCAGGTGGTGGCTGTAGGTGGTGGGGGATCAGTTGCCACCTTTTCCAGTCTCCCCCAGTGTGGGTGCTCCCCTCTGTGGACTGCTCTACACCTCTGAACCCTTCCCACCTCCTCTTCCTGCTCCCTGAAGCTGGGCCCCACAGCCAGCTGCCCAGCTCTGGAGTCCACTGCCCCATCCCCTGTCCCAGCCCCAAGAGCGGTTCAAACCACCTTTACCCGCCTCCCCGCCCCCACCCGCGGTCCCCAAACAACAGCTGCCCCCTCCT